GTGTGTTTTTTTCTTTGCCAGTTTAACAGTTTCTGTTGTGCCTGTCACTGTTCCCTGTCTGTTTTCTTACCTGGTTCTTCCTGACCTTGTACTTTTCCCTCTTTCCTCTCTCCCTCTTTGGACTGACAAGACAATCATACACAAATAGATTGTATTCAATTAGATTAAAAAATACTATTAAGATCACTAATAAAAAAGTCCTCTCTCAGTGTACTTTCAACCAAAAGACAAATAACCAAACCACATAAAAGATATAAATACTGAAACACTGATCCAACATTATCCTTTATTGACGGATCATTTGATTTTATACTTTTACCTGAATGTGGCTCCTTTTTTGAAAAAACTTCCTCATATCCATTATGAACCTGGCTGTCTCTCTGTACACACACACACACACACACACACACACACACACACACACACACACACACACACACACACACACACACACACACAACAGCAGTTATAAGGTTAATAGGAATCCAGTCAGTTAGCTAGTTAGTACCTTGGGTTTAATATCGGCACATGACAAAATAACCAGTTTCTCTCATTACATTTCAAACAGTTGTAGCAACAGTGGTGACAACAGCAGGCTACAGACAATGTTAAGTTTTAGGTTTTAAATAGGCTGTATACATTTCAATGAGATTAACAGGACGGTCAAATATCGCTGATTTTACTACAGAGCAGGACGGATTGTAGAGTAGCAAACATAGTCGGAAAACAAGTTTTCAATACTGCAGGTTACCTGGTGTAATGTTTTTCAGCTAAAAAGAAACATGGTCTGACTCCTACCTAACTATATAAAGAGTAACTGAAGGTTAAAGGCAGCTAACATGTCCTGTTTTAAGCCAAGTACCCACATCTCCGCTCTGCTGCGTCTCAGCCACCATCTCTCTGGCAGCAAAGGCGCTAGAGCCAGAGCAGGGGAGAGGCGAGCTGGAACAAACCATTTTGGGAGGGGGGGTTATCTATACTTTTGTTGTTAAAATGTTCCATCTCAATTAAGTACTGTATGCTTTTTGTATTTTTAGTAGTGTGTCCCACAAACAGCAAATATTTTCAAAAAAAGTAAGAAATCTTTGGGGGTGCTTTGATTCATTTTGGGGGGTGCTTCAGCACCCCCCAAAATGGGCTAAAATCGCCCCTGCAGTCATATATCCACAAACACAACAAGCTGAAAGTCAGTGATGCTGCTCCGTTTGCAGTCCTGAATATCACGGCACAAGCAGGATTCACTGCACTGTTAATGTTAGCTATGTTATATTGCTGCCTCTGTTCAGTGGTGTCGAGCCAAACGGACTTTAACGTGTGTTTGAACGAGCTGACGGTTCACTCGTTAAGCTGAAAGAAAGATGCTTTAATCGCAGGAGTCACACATGTGTTCACTGTACCATTTGGGAACTCTTCTTGTTTAGCACTCGTAATAACACAAACACTAAATCCTCCTTCTCTTGTGCTGTTTTGTAGCAGTGTGTACACCTGAGACTGCCACCTGTCTGTCTGTCCTGCACTCTCTCTCTGTTTCTTTCTCTCTGATTGTGGAATAAAAGTATGAACATGTATTTATAGGTCACACTTGTGTTTGAATCCTGCAGCTTATCACACATTTGATTTCCATGTGTGACAACTGCAAGTGTCCAGAGTGAGGACAGACTGAGGGACCCACTGCTGCACATCATCTGTGAGGCTTTGCACCCCTGATGATCCACCAGGACAAACTCAGCAGTGTGTGAGGAAGAGGAGGAGGAAGAGCCAGCAGCAGCTGACAGATGGGGAGAATAGACAGACTGTTCCCTGTTTGTGAAGGACTGCTAGAAAAGTTTAAAATAACTAACTGTCTGTCCTGAATCAGTCTTATTAGGTAATGTTCAAATAATTTTATCATTCCAGTGTTTTCAGTGTGGGAGAAAGTACTCAGGGCCTTCAAGTTACACACTATGAAAGGCAGTAACAAGTTTAATATTCAGAAACCTAAAGTGTGTATCAGCAGCAGAATGGACCTAAAAATAAATGTTTGTTCCAGTTCTATGAAGCTTTGAGTATTTTGGATCAGTAGCACTGCTGTGTTTGTTGCATCATATTGCTGTAATTGTTTATATGCTTTATATATTCTGAGGTAAGTTGATCTATAGTGTTACATGCTATTCTATAAGGATGTTATGTGTTTGTATACTTTCTGCCCAGTTTGTCCCATTTAGCAGAAGCCAGCCTGTTTAAGGCTCTGATATCTATTCAGTATGACTTAAAGCAGTTATGACATGATCTGATTTTCTCACCCAATAAAGGAATATTTAATATGTCAGTCTATTCTTTATTCTATCAGAAACAGTTATCACAGCTCGTACATTTTCTTCTTACACATATATGTAAGCATTGAGCCAAATTTAGTAATGCCAACATATTAAACGAACAATATTTGTCTCCTATATATAACACATCTATATATACACTGTCAAAGATGTCTTTGAGTGAAGATTTAAGGTGATAGGAAATTTGAATAAATGCATCTTGAATCTTTACTGAAGTTCAGTGAATGACACAGAGTTCAAGCTCACTGCTGTAATAACTAATAATGATTAATATAATAATAAATATATATTGGCCATATTATATTTACATTACCAAAGTGAGATGACTTTAGTCTCATGAACAACATCAGCTAATTGTTATTTACTAACTAATCTTAAAATGACTGTTCAGTACAGAAATGAAGCCCAACAATCATGTTTTTCAGCCTCAGATACTCAACAAATCAAACAAAGCTCATGTAAGAACAAACAAACAAATTAACAAAATTTCTCCTTCATTTCTGTCAAACAAAGCTGTGTGAAACGTTTCCAGCGGTTAGTATCATGGTTGCTAGGCAACCTGGGCAGCGCGACCGAGGCTAGACCGTCCCATTTCACAAGCCTCTCACTTCCGGTCTTAGCGTCTTTGAGTACGCGGCCCTTGTGGACCGTTAAGGCTGCAGACCCATAACTCTTACACTGCGCCGTAGTAACATGGATTAACCACTATGTGTCGCTCATGTCGCTGATGTAAACGAACATGTGAATCACAGCGCCGACTGGCGGCCCTTCGTGCTATATGCATTAAATAACAACACAACAATACAACAATTTAAAATAAACTTGCAATGCTTACAATAGAGTACTCTTATATAACACTATTGCTAATTATATTAAAATATATTTCCCCAACATTTCCTTTTGTACTTCATATGATTAAGTACTGCTGGTTAAATCTAATGATATGCTAAGAACAGTCATGTGAATAAAGTTCAAATAAAAGCATCGGACCAGAGCAGATACAGTGTACATTACATACTGAAAGAGCTTCCATCCCTTGCTGTCTTGTCAGACAGAATAGATGTCCTCATTTTGTCCAATCACCAAGTTGGGACTTGCTTTAGGGGGTTGCAAGCAGAGGTGAAAGAAGGAGGCCTACTTATAGATTTTACTTCAGTAAAAATAGCAAAGCAGCCACCAACAGTCATTTTCTTATTGTTATTACAGATGCATGAGCAGATTTCTACCTACTATACTTCAATGAATTGCATCATGATTATTCACCAGAAGTATCTGAGAAATGGTGAATTTTAGATGATTATTAAAAGAATAAATGCTTTAATAAATGCTTTGAACACACAGTTCTGCTGTTTACTGAAATATGTACAAATACACATAGAAATACACTATATAAAGGAAACACAGTTTGTACTGTTCTAACAAGTTTGAAATTCAATATTTGGTATGACCACATTTATCCTTTTCTTCTAATTTCTTTAAATATTCTTCTGGAATATTTCTCTAGGTTCCTTGCAGGACATTTAAAGCTCTTCTTTGGATGTTGACTGTTTTCTTTTTCCAGTCTCTGTCAAGATGATCCCACATTTGTTCAATAATGTCAAGGTGCGGGTTACAAAGCTGCCTCCTAACTCAGAGCAAGCAGACGGTTCAGTCACACGAGTAGGACATGAGCCTCCTTCCATCTATAAAAAACCCTTCGGTGGCTGCCTGATGATTGCATTTCATTTAACAACTGCAGTCTGACTTGGACTGCGTGCAATTACTCTCAGACAAATTTTTGAAGTTTTGAAAATAATTGCTGTCTTATTTCTGAATGCAGACAGATTACCAACATGTCGCCATCAGTCTGAATGGCCCTTTGTCAAGCTGGCTGCCAGCTGGTTGTATTCTGGTTGTATTCCTTTAGAACGGAAAGACTGCTGAGCGAAAATTTAATAAATTAGTTAAATATGAATTAGACCGCAAAAGAAATGTGAGCTTTGATGATTTATCACAATATCAACATTTCACGCAATTGCCAACTTGACCTCATTCAACTTGTTCGCCGACGGACTCCTACATATGGCAACATTTGTTTTTTTGTTAGTGTTGGTGTGTTTGACTGTCTCATTTTACATTTTTAAAATAAAAAATGTAAAATGAATTAAAACATTTTAATTAAATAAAACAGATATTGAAAAAGTTTAACTTTGAAGACATAATTTATATGTTACTGCAATACTTTGCAAACTGCAAAATACTGTATTATAAGTGAAGTATCATGGGGTGTCTGGTGATTCCCACCCTGCTGAATATAGCCATGTACGCATGTAACCGTAATTCTACTTAATAAACTGAGAACAACTACTCTACTCTAATACATCTCTCTAAAAGAATCACAAGATGATTAACAGGACTGGAAAGTAGAAAACTGCTATAATCTGTACTTACAATGTGCTAAAAAATATAAGAGTGGATACAAACAAGGGTCATCTCAACCAAGAAGTGCAGCAAAGGGCGAACACTGACAACAAATTGTCCTTCTCTTAGTCAGTGGGTGCACAGTGTGCTGCTAAAAATGATTTTGCATACTCTGGATGTTCCACTTCCGAGGAAGAGAAAGGCAAGTCAGATGTCAGTAGTAGCAAAGGTCTAACAAACATAGCGCTCAGGACTTGACCAACAATCATCAACGCACTCAAGAAACAGAATTTTAACTTTATTTTATTTTCATATATTGTAATGGTACAAAAGGAGAGCCTGAACATTAGGCAAAGTTCAGTTGTCCATTGTTACAGACGTCCCACTTAAAAAGCCAGTGTTCAGTCCACTTGGCAACAATTAGTAAAAGGCCTTGTGATACAGACAGTGCTGAGTGAAACAAGTCCGTCCATCCAACTTTTAGTTTACATTTAACGTGATCGCTGCTTAGGTTTAAAAGCGTTCCTTCCAGTATCAACGCACACATGGTTTCAAATGAAATGGATGGAAATGAACCATTTTCCCTGATCCACAGGCATCAGAATACAGAGATGAATTGTACAGAGCAAATACAATCATGATTTATGTTCCATACACAGGCAGAAATATAATGCAACCACGGCAGTTTAAGAAAAATCTAGGGCGATGAAAAGGAAATGAAACTGTCTGGAAATGTACAATCTTGGGAAATATTAACAGATGATATACTGATGTACACAATGCCCACACTGGAGGGTGAGCTCACCTCCATTTACAGTAAGTCAAGATTGTCGAGTCGTTTCTGCTCAGTTGTGAAGTCCTGTTTTGTTTATTCAAAAACAGCAGTGTCCAAAGGGAAACCAGCAGCAATATGAATGATGATTATGAGCAAGAATAAACTGACCAGTCACGCTGCTTCACACAAACATTGCTTAAGTGATACATAATTTAGAAACACACAAAAGGAATTGGGAAAAGCTGGAAAATAACAAAAAAGAAGAAGAACAAAAACAAGAAAAGCTTTTATACGCACTGACTTAATGTGTTTGGGTGAAAATGAGCTGAGACTATATCTGAAACTGCTAGAGTTTTCTTGTAACCAAGGAGCACGTATGAGTCATCAAAACTTCCTCCTTTTGGTTTCGTGGGAATGTCTGACTGACCTTTTCCTCGGACCTTCACCTGATTCACTAACAGAAAAGGGAGTGGGCTGAAAATTAGACGCATGACTCAGAGGGACATGACGGTGAAGGACTGTAGAGCCGAGTCACAGCTCAAAGGACAGAACAAAAATGACCAAGGCAACTCGTCACCATAATATTTGTGCGTATGTGTCCAAACATACGCACGCAAAACAAACAAACCCCCAGATAAAAACATATTCATGAGAATTTTGACAAAGTAGTGTGAGAGAGTGTGAATGAGCACCATCCATCTTCGCGAGTTATACTGACTATACAGGCTCTACTAGGAAATAATTTAGGTTTTTATATATGTCTGAACTCCCAGAACTAATGATGTGACCCACATGTTAAGGCTAAAATTTTATAACAAAAAATGTGCGTACAGTTGTTATCCTTGGGCTCAAATCAAGCAACCAGGGCTTTGTAAATCTAAAGTCTGCCATTAAAACACAACAATATTATTGCCCGATATTAGCTAATCGCCAATGTATCGGTATTGGCATTTACAACAGTGTTGCTGATAAATGAAAACTTTAAAAAAAGAAGAGACAGGAGAAACATCCTTCAACCATGTCATGAGTGTTGATGTTGCATAGATTGTCCACCGGAGGGCAGTCTGCAACTTCCCTTTCATCAACGCGTGTTTGGAACGACGCAAACACAACAGCCGCCTGATCCCAGCAGAGCGGAGGTGAATAAATAACGACGCATAAAATACATCAGGAGAATTTGTTTATGTTTAGTGCGTTTGAAAGAGAAAAGAAAAATATTGGAGTATTGGCTTTTTAAGTCACCAAATATCGGTATTAATATCAGCCGGGCCCTGTCTGCCATTAGTACCACTGTACACTGCTTAAGTGCTGTGTGCAAACAGAAAGCTTTACAGACAACCTAAAGTTGACTAAGGCCAGTTATTAGTGCTTTGAAAGTGACACTTTCCTGGAATAAAAACCTTAATTAGCAATAACAGGAACGCTACGTATTGGCAACAATGAAGAACAACATGATACATTGTTTTTAAAAAATAATAACAATCAATAATCAGACTAGATGGGCTAACTCAGAGTAAACTGCCAGTTATAGCCCAACATCATACACATTTCTATGTTACTATATTATTTACTTGCCTATTTTTGCGGATTGATTGGCAGGCTGGCAGGCCAACAGTCCCTATCCGCATACTTGGCACTGCTCACGTTTATCCCGCACTAGTTGCTCGTCAGCTCACATAAAGCTAAAGCTCCTATTTGTGCCTTTTAATACTGCATGGGAGCGCTTTACTAGTTCCCCCTACAAGGACATTTGGATTCAGTCAAGGCCTCAGTAAACAAAATATACCGTGAACAAAGGTATAATTGTATCATTAGAGTTAACCTTCCTTTAAAAAGCTTGAATCAAAAGAGAAAAACAGCAGGTAGGAAGAATACGGTACACATGAAACAAACACATTAAATATTTCAGCTATACATTTTACAGCACAAGAAATAAAAAACGAGCCAAGATTGTGATGTTTGCAATCATTCCTGGGGTATAAAGCTTGTAAAATCTAAGGCCATATTAGCTGCAAGAGATGCTTGGCTGGGGTGAACATGGCAGAATTAGTCCAAATGATGCTATTAAATCCAAAGGCCTTAATAAGGAAAGTGTTTCAAGCAAACCACGCATGTTACATTAATTTGGTCCATAGATGGTGGGAATCACATATTGCATGTTCGTTTTCTCTCTCCCTCTCTCTGCAAATGTTTCCCTTCTGTTGTCTGATCTAAATGTTTCTCCACTCTTCCATTTCCTGTTTGTCCTCATCTGTCACTTAGATAAACAGATTACATATAAGTGTCTGCTTTTGAAGCTTGACTCAACTCTTCTCAAACAGGAAGTATCTAAACTTTCCATTATCACATCTGAAGTTCATTTCCTTTGGGAGTCCCACACATGTAAAGCTTGACTAAAGCTTCATAAATCATATGGCGCATTAAAAAAAAGGAATAAAGAAAAGAAGTACCTTCATTCTTGTTCATTTTTTAAGTGTATTATCTACTCGATGTGTGATTAGCAGTATCTATGCTCCATATATTTTAACTAAAAAACCCAAAACAAAACAAAACCAAAAGAAATCCGCTGTGACTTGTAATGCAAGGACAGCTAACCTCACATAATTACATGTAATTACAACATAGCAAAGAAAATAACAATAATATGGGTATAGCTTTGACAATTTCTTTTTAAAATAAATGCAAAACCAAAACTACACGTCTATTGTGCATAACATTGCATTCCAATATTCACAATAAAACAGCCCTTCTCACAGGCCCAAACATAATGCTAATGTATGGTACAATTTAAAAGTACACCAAAATAAATTCTTGGCCTTTTCCCAACACATTACAAGGTGTCATATTAAATCTGATAAAGTAACACACTCAAAAAAAAGTATAATGCTCGTTGAAACAGAAAGATTCAAAGAAAGAAGATGGATTTGTCCCATGCAGTTAACAAACAGCCTGCCTCACAGACTGATGTTATAGTTTAACAACTGCAGGGTATTTAGACATTGAACTGTAGAGTGTGTTCCCATTTGTTTCCACTGAATATTTGACAGCTTTGTTTCTTTGAAGTTCATCTTCTGAGCTAAGGCCTAAGCTGTGAGATCACCCGTGAGATGATTTGCTAATCTTCATCAAGTCATTTTGTCTACGTAAAAAAAATGCCTCAGAGTAAGTCGAGCATAAAGAAAGCCAGAAGGAAAAACAACACGGCGAAGCTTCATGCCTCAACACATCGGCTATCAGTTGCGCTGTCATTTGTTCGATTACATCTGCTAGCACAGTGAGGCACGCTGCACCTCATCTGCAGATATAACCGTATAAAACTCAAAGGTGATTTTCAGTCTCGAGGCCAGAGAACGTCAGGCTAACACTCTTCTGTGCATATTTCCTGTTGATAGTAAAGTAGTGATAATCAGCACATTTAGATCACTGGCAAGGTTGAATCGTGCAAGTTTAAATAAACGGGTTTGCTTTGGACAGTTCCTATTGTGGCATGCATACTCAACATCACCTGGATGAAACACTGAAAGGCCACAATACCAAACCACCTTTCATTGCCAAGCTAGGTTATGAGATTATTCCACTGGCAGGCATGAGACAATTCCAAAAGCCATCACTTTCCTGTGCCTGTTGGGCCAGAACTGCTGCATCTCCTTCAGAGTTTCACAAAATTTCATTGCTTCTTCATTCCTCTGATCAAACTTCTCTCCTCTGCAGCTGTCCACAGTGGTTCGGCTCAGGCTTGTTCCTTATCGGCCCTCCACAGCTGCTCTTTCACTTCTGAGGGAAGCGTGTTGAACAGGTCCTCCTCCACCACCAGGCTGCTCTTCTTCAACAGTCGGCACTCGCCGAGCTCCACCGGAAGACACTCCAGACGGTTCCCTCGCAGCTCCAGCTGAGTCAGCCCGGTCAGTTCCCCAAAACGTGACGGCAGAGTCTGCAAGCAGTTGTTCCCCAGATTCAGAGTACGAAGTTTCTTACACTGGAACAGCTCTGGGGGCAACGTCTCAATCTGAAATGGAGAGGAAAGGAGGAGGTTGCAGTTACCCTGGCCTGCTGAGGCAGTTACTAAGCAAAACATGTTTCACATAATAAGCAGCTCAGTTGTAGATCACATTAATTTCAGATGCTAACCAATTAAAACTACGACAAACAGGCAGGATCACAGGAACAAAATCAAAACTAGGTTAAATCTAGGCCTGCAGTTATATATGGGTGAACACGGTGCAGGCCAGTATCGACTTTGGTGACTGCTATGAGCAGATCCAACATTTACTATAGCAACTTAAAGACGGTTAATAACGAGATAAAAGACTTTTAAACAGCTGGGTTATTTTAATTATGATAACCATAAAATAAAGCATCTGTATTGGCGACAGACAAGCAATCTCTTGCTGCCACCTCCAAAACAGCATTGAGTTAAATGTGACTTGATTGGTTCAAATGTTTTGCCAGGTTTGGTTAATTTCAGCTGTTCTTGGATGCCGGCTCTGAGAGTTGAGTATCACACCAGTAAACAGAATCTAGGCATCATTTTAGATTACTTGTAAACTTTTGTTAAAGCCTTATTACACAATTCTACTAAATATAACTACTGTGTGCATTTTTAACCAGCTTAGTTTAGGTAGCTGGAGTGCTAGCTATTAACAAAGAAATTTTTCCTATTACTCAGGATCAACCGAGCAGAGCACAGCTGATGTTTAGACAGCTGATGTTTTATTCAAATCTTACCCTGATACTACATTCATGTGTTTGACCAATCAATGTATGCAACCAGGTCTTTCGAAGCTTAGCTAAAAAAAACATTCCCACGTCCCATGGGTTTTGCACTCAACAATAAAGCTACGGGTTGACAGAACAATTTTACATCTAATTACGAATTTTACGCAGGATGCCCTTCCTGACACCACCCCATAAAGAGGCTAGTCTCCATTCTGAATTGACCCAGCGACTTACACTATGGAGCAAACACCCAATACTACGTAAAACTGGAATTTAATCTGACTCAAATGTGATATTTAGAACAATAAAATAACAGTGGGTTTGCGATGTAACCACCAGAACGTGATACAGGCAAAGAATTTCACAATTTGTGCATGTCTGCTAAAGACTTAAAGGTTTGAACAAATTTAGGACTTGAGTTTACTTTGTGTACCATGAACCTCTGTTTGAAAACAACAATGCAGTCACACTCTGTTAAAAACTTCTAAACATTAAAAACCTTTTTTTTTATTTGGATAGATAATGTGCTGGAAGTTTAAAGAGGATTTTAAGGAAAAGAGGCCCCGAGAGCCCAAAACATCAAAAGGACCCCATTTAATGGAGCTATTTGTAGCCGCACACAAACCTGCTGGAAGCTATTTTCAGCATGCAAGCGCAGTAGAAAGTCTAGTAAAACAGCAGTAATAATAACCTTTACTGAAAAACACATGATGCTGTATGCATGCTCAGTGTTCAAAACAGTATTATCAGGAGAATTCACCAAGTGTTTCTTTAAATTCTCACAGTAAACAAATGTGAATGAAATGCCCCAAAGCAAATAACTGAGTTAAAGCTTAAATGATCTCCTTCATCAGAAACCACAGGCTTCAATCCAACTGTGAATTTTTAGCATGATTGAACATGTTAATGAAAAATAACCAAGTTTATGATAATCTGCCACCTTAACACAGTGAGGGAGGCTAGTTTTGTGGAGAAAAGCGACACATTATACAAATAATACCATATACACTTTGTAATAAATACATAGCAATGACACATTTTGGTCCGCTTGGAGTTCACTTGGATTTTTTTGTGTGTGAAAAGAAGCCAAACCACAGGAAAAAGCTACAAGTTTACAAATTCATCAACTAATTTAGACCAGCGTAAACAAACTATAAAAGCGCCCTTAGACAAAGACTTGGACAGCTGTCAATATACCTGGGTGGTCCACCTAAGTAAAGTCTTTGTATGGGAAGCACTACAGTCCTACTGTTATCTTCAAAGGCATAATTCTACACCAAGAACATGTAGATATTTATAATGGCTGACCTCCGTCAACAACTTATCGGGTTTTTAAGCGAACCTTACTGACATCTATGAGAAAGATAAAGGGGTGGAAACATGACTGCAGAATGAGAGAACTTGATAACTTTTACTACACTTTGAATCACCTTGTTGTTGAATTGTGCTATACAAATAAACTTGCCTTGCCTTACAATGAATAATTTAAGAAATTCTTCGCTACTCACCCTGTTTGCTGTCACTGCAAAATACTGCAGGTTCTGGAGGAAGCCCACATCTGGGTGGATGCTGGTCAGATTGTTGTGGCTCAGGTCTAAGAAGCGCAACTTGCGGCAGAAGAAAAGCTGGCTGGGGATCCTCTCTATCTTGTTCCTATTCAAATAGAGCCTTTCCAGGTTGGTGAGTGTTCCGATCTGAATGGGGATATAGGCAATCTGGTTGTACCACAGCTTCAGGCACACGAGGCGGTGCAGGTGCTGGAAGCTGATGATCTCCTCTATCGTCTTCAGATTGTTGTCCTTCAGGTCAATTTCCTGCAGGTTGTGCAAGCTAAAGATGGAGTGCGGAATACGTTCGAGATCGCAACGAATGAGCTCCAGCTCAGTCAGGTTGACCATTTTCTTCAGGCTGTTGAGCACCATTAGTTTGGTGCCCTCATTGTTGATGGAGAGCTTCTGAAGGTGCACACCCACATCCGTTACCACCTGGGGAAGCTTAGTGAGGTTGCTCTTAAGCCGTAGCACTTTGAGACTTTTGAGCTCTCGGAGCCCATCGATGACAATGTAACGATTATTCTCAGCACTCAGGTTCCCGGTTAAATGCAGCTCTCTGAGATTCTTCAGGCTGTAGATCCACAATGGGATCTCCTTGATATCAGTGAACTTAATGTGGAGGGACTTCAGATTCTCTCTTAGAAAGGCCAGAGCTGGAGCCTCAATTTTAGCCGGGGTGTGATAGAGCCACATTTCTTTTAGGTTGGAAAGCTGGGCGATGATTGGAGGGATAGTAACATCTGGAATAAGTTCCAGCTTGAGCACCTCTAGTTCAATCAGATCAAACACCGTGTCTGGAATCCCGCTGAGCATGAAGAGGTGCAGCTCCAGCTTCTCCTGGGAGTTCTTGGTGATACGCTGCCGTAGCTTCTCCAGTGTCCACTCATTGTTCAGGTTGAGTTGCCTCAGCTTGTTTTCACTCACCTCTGACAGAAACACAGCGAAGCGCTTGGAGTAAAGAGGGTCATACTGATCTATCATGTGCAGCATGAAGGCAAAGTCGTTCTTTACATCTGGGATGTCACTGTAACTGCTTTCCTCACGGATTGCTTCAAAGGAGTATCGTTTCAGGGAGCGGCTGAGCATCCAACAAAGAGTGTACATGCAGATGAGTCCATAAACCACCACCAGGGAGATGTAGAAACAGGCCAAAATCCTGAAAAGAGTTGCTAACGGATGGGCGCAATGGAACGAGCTGTACCCGGTTAGATTCTGAATATTCTCTGTGCACAGCACATTGAAGCTGATGTGTTTTACATAGTGGGCTGTGTAGCCAAATATCAGTATAAACTTTATTACCTTGATAATGGTCTGACGTATGTAAAGGCGGTACACTATATCACCCTCCTCTACATGTATTCTGAACTTTTTAACCTTTTCAAAAAGGGCCTTGGCCTGCTCCCCTTCCTTTTTATCTAAAACTCCAGTTTCAGAGCGATCAACAATTCCTTGTTCAATTCTGGTCTTTGTTCGTTGGAGCATGGGCACACTGGCCTCAACATCCTCGCTCACGCTTGAGGCCTTCTTGTCCATCGAACCGTTCATTTTCCCCACAGGCTTGGGGTCGCTCTCCTCCACCACGGTCTCAGACAAAGCTCTCGTTGTCCACGGGGAGTCGAAGCACTTGAGGAGGATGGAGACAAAATGCTCCACTTTAGAACTTGTGCGGGGGAACTTAAACCAGAAGTTGCTGCAGGCCAGGAAGATTAGAGTGTGGAGTAGCACCAGATAGGGGAAATATTTGGCAAACCAGTGTAGTTTTTTCTCATAGCAGACTGCGTCTACATAGTTATACTGATGTCGGTCAAGGTCATACTGAATGCCTTTGGGTTCCGGTGCGTAGTGGGTGGTCAGATTCGGCATGGGCATGACTTCGCACGAGTCATTAACGACCCACTTGCAAGGCAAGCAGATCATCTTGTCCTGTGTGACCTGCAGCGTCCCGCCGAACACCGCAATCATCAGCATGACGATTGAGATGTAGTCTGTGAAAACGTCCCACCATGGCTTCAGGATGCGGTACGCTGGCTGGGTGTCAGCAAAGTATCGGAGCTCTGTGACGGGAATCATGATGGTTTATCTAAAAAAGCAGAGACAACAGAGGATTAGTTCATGACATGTTAGGTTAAACTGTGTTTTGAAAACCTTAATGCTTTGGGGCAAAACTTTGTATAAATTACACTCAAAATATTATTCCTGCCTGTTGGCAGCTGACTGTGGCAGCTGGTTGTGAATATTTTAAGCTTTTTCCTTATGAAATCCAGTTGAATAGCTGTTTTTCTTTGATAGCTTCTATGCCAGTTTCTGGGATTAAGCCAACCATTGTTTTCATTAGGAATTAATCCTCTAATTATTTCGTCATTCATTATTTCTAAAATGCCATGAAATAGTGAAGAATGTCCACTATGGTTTCCTGAAAGAATACATTTACAAATTACACTCCAAAACTATGACACAGTCAATTTACAAATACATAAACCAGAGAGAGTCTGATGGTGCACTGGAGAAGCAAATGTTTGGATGTCTTGTTTTTTTGCATGAAATATGATTCAAATTATTAAACCATCTATACAGTGGAAACCCATATTCCCAACAGCAATCAAACATATTTGCCACAATGTGTCTTGGAGAATATCACAGCACTGAAAATAGTACTAAATGGATACCATAATAGCATCACCATTTCATATAGCAGGATAAACACAATCCTTTCATTTTACACTGCACAATTGGAAGGAAGCTTGCTTTAGTCTTGCCTTCTTGCTCTTATGTTATGTCAATAATTAATAAATGCCACACACACAAATAGCACTAACTTACAATTTGCCTTTTATCCTGATGTAGCCCAACACGCACCTATGAGCAAAGAAGTGGAGGTTACCAGACTAGAAACACACAAAACACGATAGTTCTGATAGCTATTTGTCCTACAACTAAACAAAAGATCCTCTGAGCATCTTGCATGGGACACAGCACATTGCAGAGGCAATAGCAGCACAGACCCCGAAGCAGGCATGTTCATACAGACTCGGTGTCTCCACCTGTACTGCTACGTAGCCCTTTCTCAGAATGAATACGTTTTAACATGTTACTCCTTACAGAAAGGGCCACGAAGGAATGTATTCTCCCAAGAAGCTATGTAAAATCCTGCAAAACCAACAAATTTCCTGATTGTTTTCCCCCAAAAAGTGAACAATCCAAACAAGCAGGAATATTTAAATTAAAATCAAGAAAAACAACTTGAAAATGGATGCTAAACCCATTACTGAACACAAAGCTGCTGCTGGTCCCACGAAAACACAAATCCCCCAAAGTGAAAAACTCCTGAGGCTTGAGTATGTGTGTAAAAACCACAATCAGGCATCTTTTTCAAACAGTAAATAACAATAGACTGAACAATAAAAAAATAGAGCAGTCAAAGCAGCTTTTTTTCACAATTCAAGATGTTTTAAAGGATCATATTAGCCCAAGTATAACCTCCTACACAGAAATACAGTTTCATGTGGACACAAATCTGATAGTAGAAGAAGAAACAAATCAACTGTAATAGTACTACTTATTTTTCTTCTTATAACAGTAAGGAAGAATCAAAAACAACAAAAACTGCATCTCCCTGTTTGTTCAACCACCCCCTACCTTATGAAAGAAGATAGCTGCGCAAGTCCTCACAAAAACGCATTGTTTTTTATCCAGTTCAAACCAGAATGGCAGCGGAGTCGCTGTTGGCCTCCTTCGTTAGGCTTCTGCTTTGCTTTAACACAGAAATTACAGCACACTGAGACCCCAACAGCTGCCACAATACCCTTAACTGTAACCAGTCAGATGGTGTTATTCCACAACAGGCTATCTTTGACTCCAATGCAGTGTACACTTCCCTGTACCACAACAGATTCATGACAAACCCAAAAGCATTTGACATGCTCAACTTTAAAATGTGACAGATGGAAATTCTGGTTTTGCAATACAGTGAAACTGCTGCATATTTTCACTTTCGTGTCTTGAAGTCATTGGTGTGTCGCTTAGATCACAAGTTTGCCACAATAAGCTCATATAAACTCCAAGTTCCATGTAACATAAACTAATTGCCAAGATCTTCCAAGAATTTCACACCAGGCTCTGAAATAACCCTAACAATAATAATGGATGATCCGGTGAGGTCACAATGTACCACTAATATCTTTAATTCAAAAGAACATCCGAGGTTTGTTTCACTTCATCCTGGCACAGGAAAATAAACACCAGTCTGCAAGCAGCTTACCTTGAACCACACTACACTTCTCCAAAATCATCCCTCTAATAATTTCAACCAAGGACTTCTCTGAGGAACTAAGGACTTCCTGTCACTATCCCTGGTGTAAAATAAAAAAGGTCAAGACAGGATAATATAGTGACTGTGTTCTTTCTTGTTTGCTATGTTACCGCAGTACATTTCTCCTGATTTTCTTTCTCAAACAGAGATGCCTTTGTGCAGGCGAAGTGCAGGTGAACCTGACCACCAAAACAGCCAGTGTATTACAGAGCCAGAAATAATTTCCCTCAAGGACACTAGTGTCCATTTGGTTTGTCACAAAAACAAATGGACATGCCTCTTTTGCAGTATATAATGGACTTTCCTTTAAAATAACCCCGAGCAACCCCAAGTAGCTTTAAGTGATATCTGACAGCTAATCTCCAAAAACTAAATGAACTCCAGTGAGGGGAAAAAAAACCCTTCCTGTGGGGCTTAAACTCAAAATCCCACAGGAATAAGTCGCAGGTTCGTATGGGTGCCACTCCCTACTGCTCCTTAGTATAGATTTTTGGTGGTAGGCATACTTTAATACCAACAACTTTCCAAAGACCTTAAAAAAATAAAGGACTGAAGGACTTTCTAAGGACTTAAGGTCATCATCAATGTACACATGCAGGACAAGAGTGTGCGTAGTGCAAAGATCAGAGCACAGCATGTAATCGTGAAAGAGATGAGAAAAACCCCAAAATGATAACACAATAAAAAGAAAAGGAAAAAGAAAAACGTGCTATAATCTTTGTTATGTGTCCATGATGAGAAAACACTGAACAAGATGGTGTTAACGATGGACAGCATGTCTCCAATGTGATTTGAACCCCACTGAATGTGCACATGACACCTTTGGGAGAAACTTTTAGTAGACAGAAGAGACAGAAGTTGAACTTGTTGGCAAAGATAAACAACATACTTTGAGGGAAAAGGGCACTCTATACTAAGGCTAAAAGCTCAACTCAACTAGGCTGGATATTTAAAAGCTGATATGATTTTTGAATATTCAAATAGTAATTAAAAAATGAGATACTTTATGCCTTAATAATTCCTTGGTTTTTTTTACTGGCATTTGCAAGGATATAATACACTACTATCACCCAAAAGGGATGGTAATGCACATGCAAAGCCAAATACAGTGAGAGCTGTCAAAAACCTTCAAATAGAACTTAAAAAATAATGCAGCAAAGCTAGCATATCACAAGTCTGCCACAACTATACAACAGTCATCAGAGAGGAGTATGTTGGAAGGATGTCTTTGTAGAATATTATATTTGATTAGAAATGCCTGTTAATCCAAACCTTGAAGCAGGGTGGAGGTAGCATTATGGGTTGGAGCTGTTTTGCAAGTTCAGAAGACTTTCCAATCGAAAACACTGAATTTAATTTTTGTGTTTAATTCAGCAGTCTACGAGCAGAAGATTTTGAAAGGCTGGGTCATACAACAGGACACTGATTCAAAACATATAAAAAAAATACAGATAAGCCCATGTCTCAAGCCACCACGAATTTCTTTAAATGTTGCTTCCAAGGAGCCAGACTTTATTGTAACTGTTTAAAGTGGTTATGAGCAACAATTCTCCAGGCTTTCTGAACGTTTTTCAAAACCTTTTTCTTAACTAACTGGCTGCTTTTTGATTGATTGAGTATCTGAGTATTTTTAGAGAAATTATTTTCATTTATTTGTTTATTTACTTCACTTAACACTGACAAGCATAAACAAGACACCTAACTCAAGGGATGAACGAGTGTTGTGTCTTAGCAACAAACTCATTTTAAATTGCATCTTTCGACAGTTCGTTACTATTTTTGCTCCAAGTTGATTGCCAAATAGCCATTAGCTAAAAACTTGGCATACGTCAGCATGAAGAAATTGCACAAGTGGAGGACAAAAGAAGAAGTTTCAGGCATAAAAATAATTTTGCAGTATACGAAAATGAAAAAAAAAAATGCAGCAAAGAAGCCATTTTTAAGGAAGGGAAACAGGGAGAAAAAGCTGAGGTAGATATGAGCTCAGCTAAAAATCAGCGACAGCTGGTCTTATAGAGTGATGAATTTGAAGCTTTGGGGTCAAAGTGTCATAGGAGGAGGTCAGGAGAGAGGTACAACTGGGAGTATGTACAGCCAAAACACGGTGGAGGCTCAGTCATGGTTTGGGGTTGCATTTCAACAAGGGGTGTTGGGAATCTTATCAAAACTAATGGAATTATGAAAGCACAAAAGTGCCCCTAGATTTTGATCCACGATGCAATACCAGCAAACATCCTAGAAGAGCTTTGCATGTAATTCCAGAAGAACTATTCCTGAAGACTACCCATAGAAATTACAAGAAAGCTACCTGTGAGATATCAGGTAGTGTTGAAGAACAAAGGTAGACATACCTTTGTTAGAAGGGGTGGCTTCTAAGATCATTAGAAGCCACCCCTAAAGAAATGAGGTGTGGTACAACACTTGCACAGTAATGACATCTCACTCATGACTGTGTCTTTCCAGTTAAGATTATGACGGCCTATTAGCGTAACTTAGCAGAAGACCACATCACAACTAATTAATTCTGGTTAATTTCTTGCAACTGTACACATGTGGACAGAAAGATGGACAGATACCAGTGCTGCCAGCACTTATTGCAGGCAGGAAGTTTTATTACATTCACTTAGATTGATACACGCTATAAACTCCTCTGTGTTTGAAACATCTCTCAATATTCCCTTGGCAACTACTTCACAAATTTCCATTTAAGTGCCGCAAACATTTATAGGACCTCCAAAGCAACAGAGAGCATCACTTTACTAACGTCTTCTACGCCCTGTTATCACGTACCATACAGCAGAGATGACTAAGGAACAGCGTGTTTTGGATCCCTTCATCAGTTCACAGTTGTTGAAAGTATTACACCCAGATCTCAGGGTTGTGTCAACAGCATCCAGTCCAGGCTTGTTGCTCCAAATGTGCTGGAGTTGAATATCAATTTTAAGCGACAAAAATCAGCTTTTTTCCACCATATTTTGACACTGTGTGGTACAAATAATGTATCATTTGAAGATAATGAGGTGAGAAATCATATATGAAAAGACTAAATGGTAAATGGCCTGTATTTGTATAGCGCTTTCCTAGTCCTTAAGGACCCCAAAGCGCTTTACACACTCAGTCATCCACCCATTCACACACTGGTGATGGCAAGCTACATTGTAGCCACAGCTGCCCTGGGGCGCACTGACAGAGGCGAGGCTGCCACCGGGCCCTCTGACCACAACCAGTAGGCAACGGGTGAAGCATCTTGCCCAAGGACACAACGACCGAGACTGTCCAAGTCAGGGCTCGAACCTTCCGATTACAAGGCGAACTCCCAACTCTTGAGCCACGATTGCTCCGACTAATCCTACCTTGGTCTGATTCTAGCTTTTCAAAGGAGGATCCTTGCACTTAACAATTTTTCCAGCACTTCCCAGCACTATGTGGCAATAACTACATAACTATGTGATCTGGATCCAGCAAGTCAAAGACATTGATTAGTTTCCCGTTATTATTTTTCCATTTTAGCTAATACTTAGTAAATCCTGATAAAAGTCTACATAAGGCTGTTAGGGGGCAGTTGAGTTGCTAGTCTACATCAGCACTACATATCAGCAGTGACAGTGTTTTCTAAAGCCACAATCCACTCACACTTTATAAAGAGGTCCTTGACCACAAAACTGTTGCCTAGAACGCGGAAAAGAAAATGAAAAGAAAAGAAATTCAGGCCAAAAACTTGAAATCGTTCTTCACAGCCCATTTGTACAAAGCAGAATTATCACAGCTTCCGATCTCAGCCCATCTGCCCAGCCCTGGGGCATCAAATCAAGGGATGGAGAGGACAAGGTCTAACAACTGCTGACTCACAAAGAATGTACACCAGTGATGTCATGCTCTCACACATGTTCACAGTAATGAGAGGTCTGAGACATAAACCGTTTAAAACTACTTTATAAAGACATATCCTGATCTTATAAATTAATCATTCTAACCATATTTGTGTGCCTAGCCTGCCAATGGCAATATTACTACAGCAATGCGATAAAATCATAAGAGCTCTTACATGTATTTTGTGACTCTGTAGTAATAAAAATGAGAAGAAGAACAGCTCCTTATGAACTTAATATCCGAGAAACATCGAGTTACAAAACAGAGCTCTCCTGTTTTCCACTGCATGCACATGCTTTGCGGCTGCTGATGGGAAAACTTCCCTGTTTTAATCTGCTGTTTATAGCTTCAGTGTTTTATCAGCAAAAAACTGTTTGCGCTAAAAATCCCAGAACACCTCGCCTGGCCTTTAGCTATGGACAAAAATGCATTTAAGCAGGACCGAGAATATTTCATTAGCTTAAAAAAAATCAATCCGAGGCGGTAACACAGTCGGATAAAATTACATGTAATCCAACCCCCCCCAGAGCGACCTTTAGTTAGGTGGTCCTCTCCACAGCAAGAGTCAGCAGAGCAGGGACGGGAAACGATGTCTCATGTCGGTGCTCAGTTAGCAGTCTGCGGCAGCTAACTGGTTATATACCAAACACCCTGAAAAATAACAAAAGACCCACCTGTTTTGCTAAAGCTGGTGTCTCTCGCCTCCTCCGCACTCTGGTGAAACATTTCTCAAACAGGCTTCAGAAGCTGAGGCAGCTCGGACATCAGGCCGGAGCCCCGTTATGCTGCTACGGTAGAAGAAACCCGCAAGAAGGCTAGAGCGGTGCGGGACCGTCGGCTCCCACAAAGAGCTCTGTCCGAGCAGGGACGGGGGAAAGTACGAAATTATACAGTTTTTCAAAATAAAAGCACAACCCTCTCATCTCACTCTCGCTCTGTCTCTCTCACTTCTGTTTCCCCCTATTTTCTTTTAGCTTTCCTTTTTAAGTTTTATTAAATTAGATAAATAGGTTAGTTATATATCTACTCCCAGTCGGTCGCGGCAGATGGCTGCCCCTTCTGAGACTGTTTCTGCTGGAGGTTTTTTCCTGTCAAAAGGTTTCTTCCCACACTTACCTTACAGTATAAAGTCTGTGAGACAAATGTTGTGATTTGGGGTTATATAAATAAAATTGAATTGAAAAATTGAATTGAATTGAATAGAATAGAAATAAAATTAAATACAACGGAATTGAACTGAACTGAACTACAGCCCTCTTTAAACTTAAGTGGGCCAGTGAAAGTCTGCATTTCTGTAAGTGTAAAGAATTGTAATTACACACTTAACATATCTTAAGATAATAATAAAAAGTGCAATTCATCTTTTCGTTTTTCTACATGATAAAGAAGGGCTCCTTTGGTACATAAAAAAAACGCTGTCAGTCCATTTGTTTGGGCTTGTAAATTGTAGGAAATAAATGTGTAAAATTACACATTGCTCATTGGTCAGAATGTCCTGTAATTATAAAAGAGAAGGGTTTTGCTAATTGACAAACAAAACACAACTGTATAAGTTATAAATGTGTTAAAAAAATGTAAACAGTGAAAAAATTCAAATCAATACTTTACGCGATCTAACCCCCTTTTTTTTTTCTTTTTTTTTTTTTTACATTTACAGTAACTTTAAGGGTTTAAAAATAGCAACAACAATAAAAAATCACACTCATCTTCATTCACCAGCAATTTCTTCTTTCGGCTCTTCCACAAATCTCTGCAGTGATTGCACGGTGGAACTGTGCATACATTTTTAATAACTACCCCACATACAGCATCTAATTTCATTGGTACACTTGCACATGAATTTATGGTAGTTTAGGTAGGTCATTCCAAAAATTTTAGATGAACTTGTCACATTTCTTCAATTTTTAAGCTGACTGGGCTGCTTGTGTCTGTTCATCCACATCCCAGATTGACTTTGGGGCACCTCAAGTCTAAATATTATCGGAAATGTGCTCAACCTCATTCCAAGCATTATATATTCACTTCAGAACAGATGCAAAAAGCCTTCAAATCAAACTTTAGATGGAACTGTTCCCACTGAATAATACATGTTTGCCTAAAGTGAGGGCTTATGAATAAGGTATGAATCCTCCCTGTAATGATCATTTGTGCAGAATATCATATAGTACAGTCCATAACATGTTAATAAACAAACAGCATTTAGAGATAATATATTTTAAGGTGTAAATACTTGCTGTGAAAAGGTATTTGCCCCCTTTCTGATTTGTTAGGGTTTTTTTTTTTTTTTTTGCATATTTGTCAGGCTTATATTTCAGATCATCAAATAAATTTTAATATCAGACAAAGATAACTTGAGACAATATAAAATCCAATTTTTGAATGGCTTTGTATCCATTTCCAGACTGAAAATGACTTTCTCAGCTGCCCTTGAGTTTCTTTAGGTCGTGGCATAACGTGTTGGGTTTTGAGATTATTTAGCCTACTTCACTTTGTCAGACAATTACTATTAAGCGATTTTTTGATTCAACAGGTCTGGCAGTAATCAGGCCTAGGTGAAGTTAGTGAAACTGAACTTAGCTTGTGACAAATGTGACAAGTATGAAATAAGAAATTTTCACAGCACTAAAACCTTCTAGTTTAGAAATGTGTTTATTTAGTTCATCTGTATCACAAGTCATACAAGTGAGCCCTGTGCTTGCTCTGTCACAGTAACAAAGAACTATAACACCCAGAAACTGCACATGGACCCATCACAGAGACAGTGTGCCACAGAGTTCCACTTTTAAGACATCCATACCTTTCCCTTAACCCACACAGCTCAGTGCATTTGTCATTTGTGCTTATTGCCATTCAATTAACCTCCACAGGCCTGCAGCAGCCTTGGCCACAACCTACTGGAACATTGTAAAAGGTTTTGTTATACATTGTGTCCTTACCGCTTCAATTCCCACTAAAGCCTTGGGAAACAATGAGGTGATGAAAAGTGTCTGTGAACTACTCAGTTAATGCTAATAATATGATATATGATTCTGGATTTGTGAAACAATGGCCATCCCAGAGGTGCAAAATCTGAATCTGAGACATTCAAGACTGTATTGACCCTCATGTGAGTGACTCCACAGAAATGCCTGACCTCTCCAGATATTCAATGCAATTCAAACTTTATTTTTTCTGTCATAAATGAAAAACAACCTTTGCTGTGGAGGGCTTTGTGGTAGGTTTTTGGCAGGTTTAGCTCCTTAGCCAGAGAAGCTGAACTTTGTTAGAATTTCCTTCAGTGTATGCAAACAGAATTTGAACCTGCTAGGTGGTCCAGCTTGGGGTAGTTTGAATAAATAGACATCTGAGATGTTTATTATATAGTAATGCATCGTGCTCATGAAATCGGCAGCTACAGTAAAGCATACTAACACGGGACTAACACAGCAGGAAAAGAATCAGTATTTGTTTATACTGACTGATGAAGGTCTATCAGGAAGTAAGGTGTGGACATAGACCATATCACAAATTCATTGTGTTTCAGAAGTGTTACTTATATTTACAGCTCATTTCTGCAGGGCAACCTGCTTGTGACAAATAAAGCTTGATGATACTGATACTGATACTCATTTACAGCTGTTTAATGTTCAATGTTTTTAATGCATATGCATCTTAATATTTGATTATTTTAAACTAACATCTTGTTTATAGTAAATACTTCTTTATGTCTCCTCCTTGCAGGTTGAGGTGTGGATGTCCATATGTCCCAGTCTCACAATATGACCACAATATCTGTAGGACACCAACTGCTGGATTGAGTGATTATAATTCCGTGGTCAAAGGTCAAGGTCATTGTAAGCAAAAACTGCAACATGCTACATGAGCGTGGAAATGCATGTGTTTAAATGTTAAAGGTGGATGTGATGTAGTTACTAAAATCCATGTTTCTCAGGTTATCTTGGTTAAAGGAAAGAAGAGCTATTAAAGGCATTTATCAACAAATTGATATGATGAAAGAAAGAAAGATAGGAAAACTAAAATGTTCAGTTTATGTTTACATACTTGTTTACTATTGGACTGTTTGTCTGTGCTGCTGAATTGGCTATTTAAATCTTCATTTTATCAGAGAACACAATGTTGGATAGCTGTGGAGTTATTTTTCTGTCAAAAGTCAGAAATGAAATTATTTTCTCAAATTGATAGAAAAATAATTCCATAGATCACTTGTATCTTTAGTTTAACATTTTGGTTCAAATTCAATTAACGAAATTCTTGGGATATGTGAATTTTTTTGCTTAAAGATTTACAGAACTTCAAGTAAATGGTAGAGAAGATAAACTATAAAAATATGGAGTTATCCGTAATGGGGTTTATGGAAAGACAATAAAATAGACACGTTTCTTCCTGTTAAAGAGAAGTTTTTCCTTCCCACGGTCCTTAACGTAAAAAGGGCCTCGCTGTTGTGATTTGTTGATAAATAATAAAACTGAGTTAACTTGAACTGAATTATCATAATAGTTACACAAAAATACCTGTAGATGACCAGGTTGTGAACATTGTTGTCAGCTTATTATTGTAAATAAAAAACAAAGAAACACACTAAACACATCTCAAACATAACTGAGATGTCTCCAAAAGAATTTCACGTTACGGCTTTCATTTAGAAATATGCTGGCCTTTGTAGGAAAAAGAAATCATTTTATTCATTTTATTTTGAAAATGTAGGTGCGTGATGTCATCAGAGTGCGACAACATCCACGTTGATAAGTCATTAGCAATTTCATCTGCGACTGAAAAGGGACTTTTACCGTTTGAATACAGCCGTGAAAATGTTGTTTTTACAGAAGTGTCTGACACTCAGTTATTCTTCGAGCACTGCGCGAGCGGTCAGCCGCTCTCTTTGGTCTCACCGTAACCGTTCAGTTTTGCGCAGACTCTGTGCTGTGGCTCACTGTCCAACCACAGCCGGGACAGGCGGGACAGGGCTGCTCTCTTCACAGGACAACATAGGTTTTCGTCTTCTGTCACCCGCTTACAGGTGCACACCTCGTTTCGGTAGTTACCGAGGACTCTCAATTTCACGGAATGTCAGCAGTGAGGCATTGGGACAGATTCAGTCAACACACTATCACCTCGTTTACACGTGCAAGGTAGCGCACGCACACTGTGTTGAGGTAGTTTTTGTTTACTTTTTCTTTTAAAGTCATGTATATGACACGCAGACTGTGTCCTGTTCGCAGGTTTGCTCCACCAGATCCATGCAGAAGATCTCTAAGCTGGCTTACCACAAAGGTGTCGTCATAGTCACGTGTTCAGGATGCAAGAATCACCACATCATAGCCGATAACCTCAAATGGTTCACCGACTTGGAAGGGAAAAGGTTGGTAGTGCCGTGGACTCCTCACTGATTCAAAACAACATCCCGAGGGTGTATTGGGTCCTTTAATCTGGCAGTATTTGCGGTTCATGTGATTAGAGCGTCTGATCTAATAATAAAACAATGCTAAGCATCCCAGAATAATTTTGAAGCAGTCTTCTCTGCTGCAAGAAGGAGGGGATGATTTAACTTAGCCTTAAACATGAATGAAATTCTTGATGTTTTTTGCCCAACAGTGTACAGTACAAAGTCTCTGTAGGGTAATTTTAATGTTTTTAATATTAAGTTATTTTCTTGTGTGCAGTAAAGATTTTTTTTGGTACAGACAAATATATATAAGATTCCATACAAAGTGAGTGTAAAATAATAATTAAAAACAAATCAGTCGAAAAGATTTAGTTTTCTCCTTGGAGTGGCTCTGTTGTGTAGTGGTTAAATATTTTGCCTTACATGTATAAGATACTGGAAGACAGACAAACAGAGCCTCAGAGTGGCTC